AAATAGTTTTCATTGTCCATTTGTATTTAAACTGTACATTTGTCATTTCCACTTATAATAATGGGCTACTATAAAAAAAAAACCCACTTGACTTTTTTTTTCCTTCTCGTTATTAAGCATAGAAATTAAGAGCTCAGAATGGAGGAAGACTTTTTGGTTCATATCCTCGCCTAACCACGTATGGGCTGTGTGATGCTGGGCAAATTACTTAACCTCTCTGGGTCTCGTTTTCCTCATCTGCAAAATAAGATAAGAGAGTTCCTGCATCATTGGGTTAATATGAAGATTAAAAGGGCTAATATTTGTAAAAGACAACAAAGCCTGGCACATAGCAAGTGCTTTCTAGGTATTTATTGAATAAATAAAATAAACAAATTATATTTCAGATGTTAAAGAGCTTTCATTACATGTGCATATTCTTTCATTATATGTATGTTAAGAGGCATTTTGTTTGCCTCTTAAATGCTTCACTAATCTTTTTGTTTGTAATATTTTTAGCCACCTTTTCATTTGAAAATAAACTATTTCCCTAAATCCTGATTGTGCCACCACTTAGAGATTATGCCATCTCTTGGTTCAGTAAAACCTGTTTCAAAGCAGATGTAAGCAAACTACACACTTGTATTGCCTTTCCACCTGAAAAATATCCCCTTATATCCTTCAGTGTAAAATCTAGACTATCTTTATTACCATCTATGTATTAGGCAACATCAACTCCAGGCTGCAGCAAGAGCCTTCCCAGTAGCATACAGAGAAGATGGTTTCTTCACATCTCCCTCCACTGTGATCAAGAATAAAGATTAGTTGCTAGCTTTGTCCTGACTTTACCAACATGACTCACTCTTAATAATATAAATGTAGACATGCTTTCATATGAATTTTCAAATTTGAAAATTCTGCTCACTTAGCACAAAGCACCATTTCAAGTCCAGGTTTTTCCTCTCTTCTTCAGAAGTGATAAAAAAGAAATGTAGAAAATAATCCTTTCTCTTTTTGCATAGAAACCACTAACATTTCAACAAATTGATGTTTGCTAAAAGTGAGCATAATAAAGAAATTTTTTTAACACTGTAAGGGAAGGTTCCCCTTGCCTCAAAATATAAAGATTATCTACCCAACTCTAAGAAGACGGATCAAACTATGATCATAATGGTTGAATTACTGAGAAAGAAAAATATATTTCACAAAGATCAGAAAACAGAGTGGGAGAGAAAGGTCTGTAATGGCTTGGCTGCTAAGGACATATTTATGTTCATGCCAACACTAAGTGCTTTTGCCGATAAATAAACCATATGTCCATCATCGCACGCTTCCTCTTGCTGAGATCCTGCTACTTCACAATTTTCCCTGTGTCCCATTCCTTGCCTCATCTTTTTCCACCTCCAGCCCGGTCTCCTACCCCTAGCTTTACTTCCTTGGGCGACCAGAATTTGTGCCCTATCTACCAACTGGAACATCTGTTACCTGAAAAAAAAAAAAAAATAGAAAATCACCTCATTGCCTACCATCCTCCAGGGCAAAAAGTTTGAAAGATTCAGCATTCTCAAAAAACAGCCACAGAAGGGAGGGGGAAAAAAGCATTATCTTTTCCAGCTCAGTAAATTCTATCTGTATAAAGAGTAAAAGAATAACACTTTAAAAATTCCTCAATGCAAGCAAATCCATGTTATCAACAAGGTATTATCTGTCTTTATGCAGAGAAGACAGAGATCCACACATTTTATTTCATTTTTGCACTCTGGCTCCTTTGCAACATATTACCATATAGAAGAGATACAGTATAGCTTTAACTCTAGAGAACAAAATGCCAATATTTCCCTTCTTTCTCTGGGATGGTTTTCTTATCCCTTTTGTTTTTTTCTGTCCCAAAACACCTCCGCAACTGAAAGATAAAAAAATATTTCCACTAAATTAAAGATAGTACAGTGTTAAAACAGCTTGCCTGAATCCAACCAGAGCCCATTTTTTAAAAAAAGTTCATTTCCACATTTGGTCAGCAGCTCGCCCCACTCTATTCCTTGTATCAGCAGCCTCTTTCCAACCCAAATTCCCATCGCCATATACCTCTGCCCTCAAGCTCTTACCAGTCCATTTCCTTTATATGTTTGCACTTAATTTGATTCCATCCTTCATGCTTTTTTCATTATTCTTAGTTCATCCACACCACATAAATTATCACCTTTGTTTTCAGTTCCCCATGTGTCCTATTCACACCAATTCCAAATAAATGCTTCTGATTCTCATCCATTTAATCCAAATTAATTCACATTACCTCTACCTCCCCAACCTCCATCCTTATCACTACCTCCCCTCTTGTCTGTTTCTCTTTCTTATGGCACCTACTTTTCCCTCCAAGCTTGTTTCTAAGGAAGGTCTTGTAGGCAAATGCTTCTGCACGATGCAAGGCCACTGCTCCCCGTGTTGTCTGAGGGGAGCCAGGCTCTCCCTGTGTCACTGCCAATGTCAGTGGACGATGCCTGCGTGTCCAGTTCCACCCTCCACAACTGGTGTCTATGAGCATCACCACCCCACGTCCCACTGATCATCCATTGGGAGTGAGGGTTTCTAGCTTACATAAGCTGGTTTCTGACTCAATCATCATTGATCAATATCAACAATGATAGCCAGAACCATAATCAACCCCGCTACTACTGTAATGAGTTTTTACTAGCTACCAAGTATTTTGCATGCATTTAATCTTCAAAACAATCTAGGAGGTAGACACAGTTATCCCTATTTCATAGATGAGAAAATTAAAGCTCAAGTGAGACAAATAACTTATCCAGTTCATAAATCTAGGAAGTGGTAGAGCTAGGACACAACTCAAGTCCACCTGACCACAAAGCCCAGCTCTCACCTACTGTGCACTACTGCTTTTCTAATAATGCACGGTGCCTCCCTGAGTAAATTCCCGTGGGAGGAGTCTTTCCACCTCAGCCCAACATAAGGCAAGTGGTTGCAGGTGCTGGGTAACATAATGAGCTCCGCCTTGGTAATCACTCGGAGTAGACAATGCTCAAAAAACAAAGCACCAAGTAACGCATGAAGCATCACAGTTACCCCTCTGACGTCTGTTTGGAAAAGGGGACCTCTGGACTCCCCCAAAAGACTCTCTGCTCTCTAGGACCTGTCCAGTCTCTACACCAGGCAGGATGCAGCCTGTCAATCATTCAGAAAGGCATCCATCACCGTAAATTCCACAGACTCAACCCAGCTCAACATTCTTGTCCCATCCTGCTTTCTCTGGCTTCCTGGGGTGGCGGGAGCAGGAGATAAGTCATGCACTGAAGCCAAGGAGCACTGCAATGTCTTGCCATTACTTCACTCATTGACTTTGGAAATAAAGGAATATAAACAAATGACTACTTTTGAAACAATATACAATATCAGAAAGGAAAAAACTGACAATAGCAGGAGGCATTAGCCTTGGTGTGTGTGGAGTATTCAAACCCCAATTCTGATAGGGAAACATGAGTGAGACTCCACCCCTGAGCCGCAGGATTCAAACATATTAGGAGACCATCCCATGCACTAAGCAAAAGCCGCATGGGAAATTAAGTTCCGAATTAGAGGAGTACATGCCTAAGTTCTGTGTGCAAGGAAGGAACATCAGTTCTCATCCTCCCATGGGAATAACTTTGAGGTTCAAAACAGTGATTTCTTCTAGTCACATATTATTCATTCATACTTCAGGAAAGTTCTTTTGTTCTGCACAAAGACAGCTCGTGGACCCCAAAACATTAGAATCAAAAGGACCCTTAAGAGAAAGACTATTTGACATGGAAATACATGGAAAATGAGGCCCAGTAAGGGAAGGAGGCAGTCTCAAGGTCACAGGACTAGTTAATGGCAGAGTTAGAACTAAAACCTAGGTTGTTCGATTTGCTAACCAATGATCTTTCCACCGTACACTTCTTTGGTGGCCCAGGCCACAAACCCCAACAGAGCACCAGACACTTCTCCTAGCTCATATACTATCACCCACATCTCTCTGAGAATGCTTTTATACTGCCACTTACATCTTTGGGGATTTTCCCTACCCATCTTGTAGTGTACAAGCAGTATACAAAAGCCATACAGATAGATAGCACACTCTTAGAGGCTCACTTAAGAACCACCAATCAGAGTAATTGCTACTAGCATCCTGGTAGACCAAGAAAGACACCACCCCTAAGCTCTAACCTCAGAGTAGAGAACAAAGAATAGTTCCAAGAAAAATGTCGATCTCACTTTTTTCTGTGTGAACCCCACTCTTCCAAAGTATCCCATTGCTCAAAAGATCAATACGATTCCTTGGAGTCACCACACAAGTCCCGAGTAAACTGCACAGTCCCCATCCCTCCCCCACCCGCCCTTACCACACACATAGCAGTGTAATCACTTTAGCAACTTCTCAGTAACAAGCTCATTAAAAAGCAATTCTGCCATCTCTCCATAAAGCACGCGCCAGAGAACAATGCAAAAGAGGAGATGCCAATTAATTATAGAATGATCACATCTAATGAACTTTGAAACCCTCCTGCTGTTGGTGACTTTGATGAAAAATCAGGGATGCTGGGAAAAGAGTGAACAGGGATGCCCTGGCTACCTTGTTTAACTGTGAGTGCTTTCAAGGCACCTCCTCAGATCCCAGTGTTGATCAGAACTGCAGAGCTACACTCACAAAACAACACAGGGCATCGGTAGCATGACAAGTGTCTGCGTCAAAGGCAGCTGGGAGTCCCACTGCCAGAGCCCCTTCGGCCATGCTCAGAACTGCTGGAGTCTACACTGGGGTTGGCACTGCCTCTGAAAGCAGCTCACAGCCACCAAGGGACAAACCCATGTCCTCTGCTTGGGACATCTCGAGTCCTTCTGCTTCCCCACCCGGGCCCTCCTGCCTCGCTACCACCTCCTGGTCAGCACGGATGCTGCTCCTCGGGACAAGGAGAAGCCTTCCCACCACGAGGCTAGCAGAGGGAAGGGAGAAGAAACCACATGCGGCCAACTTGTACCACTACCTGTGTGAGTCCTCTGATGGGCCTTTAAGTGGGAGCTTTTTGTATAAACTTTCCGGCACCCGTTAAACTGACAGCGGTGAACCCTCTTCTTGTTTTCGGGGCATGCATCCGCCCCTAGACCTCCTTGGTCACTGTCGCTCTGTCCACTCTTAACGGTCCCGGCTGCCGCCACGGCCGCTGCTGCTGTCGCAACCCCTCCCACCTTTACGGAGCTGAGTGCAGCCTTCTTGGCCACCAGTTTCAACGTCACCGTGCCATCCACGGCGGACAGAGTCTGTGAGGTTTTGACCAGATGGCGGCTGAGCTCAGGGGACGATGGGGGCGTTAATGAGGTCACTGCGTTGAGCTGGGCCTGGTTGACGGCTGTGTAGCTGTCTAGAGAAGAGCTGGTTGGCTGGAGGCTGAGGCAGGTCTCAGATAGCAACTTGTCCCGAGAGAGCAGAATGTCCACTGCCGAGCTCTTCTCACAGATGGTCGCTTCCACGGGGAGCAGCAGGGGGTCTAAGCGCCGGAAGCTTTCCTCAATGCACGGGGGAGGAGAAGCGTGGAGGAAACAGTCCAAGTCCTCGCCAAAGGTCTCTGAGATCCTCCTGGGCTCCGTCTGTAGGTAGCGTTCCAATTCAAGGCATGTCTGCAGAGGAAGAGGGAGGGAGAGAAACAGCCATCAGAGGCAGAGAACACTATGAAGCCACATGTTGACAGGCAGAGGGGGAAGGTCCAGAGAGAATGCTCTCATGGCTGGTGTCTGCAACACTTCTGGAAAGGTCTGACCTTGCTATTTACTCTCTGAATACCCCTGAAGGGATTGTAAGGGTCATATCATACGATTTCAACTACTCTAGCTGAAGGAGAACTAGAGCCCCAGAAGGACTATCTCACATCTTCAAGACCTCGGAGAACATCAAATGACAAAATAATGACTTCTGCCCCTCAATCCAACTCCCAGCATCTTTAGGAGCTCCCATGTGAGCAAGAAGCAAATAGCAATAGACAAAGTTTTGATGCTAAGACAAGACTTCCCAGAGTTCACCTTCATTTTTCAAAATAGACTCGAGCAAGTCACACAAATAAGGCAATTTTTTCCAACTTGCTCTGAAGAACAAACCATGTCCACTCACACTAAGAGGTGACCTCAGCAGCCATTAGCCATCAGCAGGAATGGACACTGCTCTAAAGAGCACCTACTATAAAACTTGTGAGGCTCAAGACAAAACCCTTGTGGTTCACAGCAAATTATTAAAAATACAATTGCTACATACTCTGTGGCAAGGAGCATAAATCCCATTTCAATGGGTTTAGCATCTCCAACTACACATGACAAAAGTAAGTTTAAACATAGCTACCTAAACAACTTAAAAGATAGGACTGGATATATTTCAACATAAAATCTTCACCTGGTAAAGAATTAGAGAAGGACCAATAAGTTTAGTTTCAACAAATCTTTATCTACTGTGGTCATTCAGTCTACGTAAGATGGTAGAAATGATGTCATGGCAAAAGAGATACTTGAGAAGTTTGTATTCTAAAGCTCTCCTCACTTAGAAATCCTACAATTCCAGAATCTTGTATAAAACTACATTCCTCACTTGTACTATTAGCTCAATCTCTATCTTCTGGATTCAACAAAGAACCATCAATAGCAAATTTTAATGTGACTATCTCCAAATTTACTGCCCCCGTAAAGTTTCTATGTTTTCAACCAATGTTCTGAATCTAGGCTTTTATTTTGTTAAGAATATTTTTTAATGATATACCTAGTCATGTTGTATCTGTCAAGGATTTTATTTTGGTGACATTTCAAAGGATTGGGTTTTAATCAGACTTCTGGTAAAACTCTGCATTACTGAATAAGAAAACTAGCTACGGTTTAACTTTGAATCAGCTTTGGGGCTCACTATAGATCTTCGATGGTATGACCTAATGAATGGTCCCAATCTTCATGCAATGCTCAAATCATAAATGTTCATTCAACTACTGTGCTCACAGCAAGGTTCAAGGCTTTGTATGTACTATAAGGAGAAGGCACAGCAGTAGTAAGTGCAGAATAAATGATCACAAGCCAAAAATGACAGGAATTTACAAAGTGATATGATACCACATAGATACCATAATATAAAGTATGTTGATAAGTTCTTAGGGGCTAAGTGGACAATGAATTCTATACTCTATAATATGAACATATTAATCAAGGAAAGCTTATTGGGAAGGTAAATATGTATTTTGCTTTACTTACTGATTAACGAATAGCTCCAACTTAGTAGTGTCCCACCAATTTATATTAGAAACCAATACTACCACCTTCTCAGGTCTAGAAATATGCATTATCCTCACTTGCTCCTTTTCTGAACTTCACATCTCAAAAATTTCCCCTTCCTTTTTCCATCTCATTGCTAGAAATCATCATTTACTTCTCTCCAATATTGAAACCCTCATTCTTAGCTCCAGTCAATTCACTTGCAAATTATAAGATTCTACTCCTGAAACTTCCCTTAAATATCCCCTTGCCTTTTTAACCATTACCTACCCAGCACAGTGCCTGGCACCCAATAGGTACATAATGTCTGTCAAAGATGAAACCTACATTATACTATTACTTTGCTTGCTCTACCTCTTCTACTCTTCAAAAGCCATCTTCTGACACCCTGGATCATGCTGAGATCTGACCACTAATACATGTCTTCTGGAACACAACTGTAACGCTTCTTGAGCTCTGCCCAAAGAGCAGAACCAGATCTCTGAGACATACATACATTCCAGGTAAAAATCAGCTGAGTCATGGGTTATAAGATGTTCTTGAGGCAGTTCCCTGCCTCCCACAAAATGACGCGTTCACACTCAGTCACCACCGTCTAGCTTTTGTGTGCCCTGTTCCTTTACATACCTTCTAGCTCAAAGATTTGAAAGTCTAAGAAATTGTTATTTTAAAAGGCTCACATCTTTTCATATTCAGAGTTCTGAGGAACTGAGATATTCTAAATACATTTGCACGCTCTTCTGGGAGGATTAAAAAATAACCTACCCAGTATGCCCTGGTTTGAATCCCAGGAGCACATGAGTCATACTTATGATCTAAAGACAGAGAGACCTCTGATCACTAGGATGTGGTAAAATCTGGATCACTTCAGAGAGGCTATAACTCACAATCCTGACACAGGACCTGAGAATTGCAGAGGCATGAGAGCCCATCAGGATGTGTTGAACAGCCCTATGAAATCATTATAGAATAATTTTTGTCTTGAGAAATCCAATTTTTATCTGCCAGAGATGAAGGTTAGGTAGGTAGAGGTAGAAGTTGACTGAAAACCAGGGTGAGGGGTTTAAAGATGTTCTCATCAAGAGTGTGCAGATTAAAATGTTAAGAATGAGGAGGACTTTAATATTAGATTATTTCTAAGCCAATAAAAACATTTATCTACAATGTTATTTGCAAATGATTATAAGAACTCATTTAAGAAATGCCCATGATGTTTAATTGGAATTTCAGATATCAGTATTTCTTCACATATTTTATAACACACACACACACACAGAGGTATGTATAGAAATAAATATAAATGTGTGCATGCATGTGCAAGTATACACACATGTATTTCCTCACTCCATTAACTGAAAGAACCAACAAGTAAAGATACCCCTGTAGCAATGAGCAAGCTTAGCAAAGAGATCTTAGTTTCTGTCTGTCACTATTCAATAAGGGGAACCAGGGCTACTTGGAGAAATAGTTCTTTGAAGGAATGGGGCAAAGAAAATACAAAATAAGCCTAGAATATCATGTAGTACCAAAAGGCAAAAAAGTGCTCATGAAGTGATGGAAGTACATCAAAAAGACTCAAGAGCCAACTTAAAGATGCTCACCATGGCCAAATCTGGACAATTTGAGGGGAAAAAAAAAGACTAATGATAACCATAGATTATAGTCCATAAAATAAAATAAATATCTACTAATTCATACTAATATAAATAAATGATTGATGAATAAACAAATGGATAGGAAGGGTCAGCTCCTCCTTACAGTAAAATTCCAATTAATAAACATAGAAGGAATGATGGAAATAGAAAATAACCATTAGGCTAACAACAAAGTAGTAATGATTTCAAGTAAGAATCACCAATGGATGCTCAAAATCAGTGATGAGAAATAAGATATCTGCCTAGTCACAAAGTATCTCCCCCAACAAGATATTTGTTTATTACAAAGACAAAAATGATAACTGTGCAGTGGAGAAGCCTGGCAAAGACCACCTTAACCATGTGATCCAAGTTAGTAGCAACAGTAACAAGTATACTGATAATACCCCTCATAGGAGATGCTGACGGGATACGGTATTATTCTGAGAGATTTCTGCCAACAATGTACAACCTCAATCTAGTCATGGGAGAACATGAGACATATACAAATTGAGGCTTCTTCTATAAAAGAACTGGCCAGTTATTCTTTAAAAGTGTCAAGGTCATGAGACCAAAGGATGGGAAGTATCACGAATCGGAGGACACTGAGAAGAGATGACAACCAAACACAATGGATCCTGGTCTGGGTGGGGAAGCAGGAAAAGGATATTGGTGGAAAAAATAATGTAATTCCAGTGGAGTGCACAGACTGGCTAATGGTATTGTATCACTAATAATTTCCTGGTCCTGATAATTGGACTCTGGTTAGGTAATATTAGGGGAAGCTGGGCAAAATATATAAGGTAATTCTATGTACTCTTTTTGCAACTTTTAAGTATAAAATAATTTCAAAAAGAAAGACAGACAGACATACAGACTCATTAGCAAGCTAAGAGTGTCTCTAGATTATAAATTTGGATATAGAATTCAAATTTTTGTCCACCAGAACCAGAGATTTACTCTGTTTCAATGTCATGCTAGCCAGAAAATGCCAAATCTGAGTCAGCAGATGTCAGTTTAATGACATAAATTATGTCTGTCTGGTACCTCACCTTGGAGACACGAGGCTTCCCTCAGCCTGACCTGACAATACAACTTAATTGAGCCACTGGATCAACCCCCACCCTCTGAAAAATTCATTATAGTCGGCAAAGGTAAGGAAATGTTCCTAAGTACAAAGTGATTTTCCTCTATATTTATGAGTCACAAATGAGCTTTGTGAAAATTCTGATATCTCAAGTTTGAAATGCATGGCAGCTTCTTCTCCTAGCTTCCTAATAAATATCGCCTGAAATTGGTTTTAAATGATCATCCTGAAACCTTTTTTAATACTCCCTTCATGCTTTTCATAACCTTCTTACTTGTTGAAACATGCATATTAAAAGTAATAATCCAAGACCTAGTTAAAAAAAGAAAAGACTTTATACCTATTACTGCCATGCCTACTACTTCTATGATAATTTTACTATAAGGAGATGACTCTTCCCCTCTATTTATTTATTCAATCATTGATTTGTGGATTTATAGATGTTTTAGTCTATGGATTATAATCCATTATCATCATTATTCATTTTTGTTGTTCAAGGTTCCAGAGGCAGAAGTTGAAAGAAAGAAAACAGGACAATTCAAGTCTTGTCACACATATTAAGTTTACCCAAATCTCCCTGCTGCTGGCAAGAGGTAGTTACTTTTACAAGCTTGGGAAAAATGTAAGACATTTGGTCATATATGGGCATGATGTCA